TGTTTTTCTCCCTGAGTCTGGCCTTCATAATTCCATTCCATCACATGAAGTGAGCAATGTATAGGTCATGGATAGCCTTTATGGCCCATTTAACTGTTCTCACTGGTGAACAGGCTATATAGTCCATTTGTTATACACACCTAATTTTTATCATTTATAGATTAGGAAAGCAAGGAGTAATGTGTTAATATTTAGTTATACAAGCATTCTGACATGACTCCATCCTATTATTCCCACTCACCAGCCCTAGGAAAGTTCCTTTTATGCCTTAACTTAAAATATTTATTATACAAAAACTGAAATTAAAAACTTGGCTAATTTGCACAGACGGCCAACAAACATTCCCAAGCACACATTCCATGGTAACACGGATGAGGAAAATAAGTACAAAATAAAGAAATTGTTTTCAGAATGTAAATGTTAAAATGGCGTTAATATACCTCTTCTTCTAGATCACGTTCTACTGGTTTCCCATCTACATGCTATGAAGTTGCAGGAAGGGCAGTTTCAAAGTATGAGGGAGAGAAAGTAACAAACAAAATGTTAGTGTAGACATAAAGTGACATTTTTAGTCCAGACTGTTGGATAACAACAATAGGTTTATTTTCTCCTCAATATGCAGTGTCCTGCTACACTGATATTAATGTGAATGTCTCTTCTCATTTTATCAATATAAGTCAAGTCTAGCTTCCATCAAGTCAGTGGAATCTCTGCCAGGGCTTGCTACAGACAGTATACTGAACCCGGATGCCTACAGACTCTGGGATATAAAACAGCTGCTCCTCCATTCATTGTGATAACTGACTCACAGGGAAAAAGCTTCAAAAAACGGGCTACTGATAACTGCAGAAGTTCATATACTTAGCGCAAGTTGGAAAATAGCAAAAACACACTCACCCCAATCTCACCACTCCTCCACGAACAAAATGCAACGTATACTAAGTGTGCTATTCAGTGCTTATATTGTACCTGTATATGGGACTGAAAGGCCTACTGGTTTTCCTCTGAAAGCAAGTGCTAATACATTATTGCATTTAGGTCATATAGATCGGATTCGCCAATACAAGCAGCATAGGAGAATGCACTAGCTAATGCATGGGAGTGCTGCAAATCTTCTGCTCCATCATTTTATTAGACTAAAAGTAGGAATAGCACAATTTATTTATTGAAAATTCAGCTGCGAGTGGGAGATGCTGTACATCATTGTTTTGCAAAAATATTCTAATCTTGTCCACACTGATTTGCTTGGAGGGCTCTTGGTATGTTGCAAAAGATTCTGTATACCGACAGTTGGCAGTTCAACAAATGCTCTGGGTTAGCATGTCAACTAGGCACGTATCCAAATGTGCAACTTCAGAGAAAGGTGTGAAATGTAGGGAAAGTTCATTAATGGATGGCCAACTGTTTTTAAAATAAATTCTCATTAAGAATGGAATTCCAAATGTACAGTGCATGGTATGGTTCAGCTAGGATCCTGCAAATGGGACATGATCTGTAACGTTTCTCATAAGCATTTACACACCTGCCCTTTCTGGCCTAAGGATATGAGGCCTCTCTTTCAGATTTTGTGCCTCTGAGTCAGCCATTTCAGCTTTTCCCTAGGATCTATCTGCCAAATTTGTGTGTAGTACCAACACAGTCTCTAGTATCAGCATTGTATCAATCTCAGGGTCTCACTAAAAGTCAGTTAATTATATGCACCTCCAGATTATATACCACACAAGAACAAAGTAAATATTCAAAACAAGGAGAAAATAAACCTTGGAATTATATAGTAATTGGGAAAGTTAGTCCTTCATTTGCTATAAATAAGGCCACAAATTATACTGAAGGGTTACAATGGAAAGCCCAAAGGTCAATCTATTAAAGTAACATATCACCTTCATGTTGAATTAATGAATATAGTTTGTTAGTTATGTGCAATCAAATTCTTTTAGCTTGGGATCTATATTGCATAAATATATTGTTCAGAATCTATCAGATATAGTTTGCTTCTTCTTGATGTGGGTGATCTACATCAATATTTACATTTAGATATACACTTATTTAATAGCATAGACCAGTTTCCTTTGATCTCAAAGGCAAGGAAACAGTGGAATTACAATTATTCAGCTACATGAAGCTTATATGGTTTGAACTTTATATCCAGCTTTATATACTTCCAGTGCATATTTATTAGGCAAAAATTGAAATATTGGAGCTAACCTTTTCCAGGGATTCACTTTGCAAGTCTTCTAGACTACTCGAAATTTTTTTCTGAGACATCCTTCAAAATATAATGGCAATAATTACTGTAATCATACACATACCAAATCACATTGATGGCAGTAACAGAGTTAATGGACATTTACAAAATCCTCTCTTATTATTGTACAACCTGCAATCTTAAGTTTGAATTTGTACATAATAAATGCCACCGGTAAAACTCTTAGCAGCGTAAGAACTGCTGGGTGTGTCCCTGTACATGCAAATAGGCTTAGTCTTTCCAAGTACAATGAAATGCTTGGAGAATAAGTTGTGGCATGCATCATACAGTATATGAAAGCCAGAAGTGTACTGGTTTCTGGCAGATACATTGGAATACGAGAATCTTTTTCTTGCCATCCAAAAGGCCAGAACACACAGCCCTCAGGGCGGCTGATTCGTTTATTAGAAATGTAGTCATAATACCTAAATTATTATTGGACTATGTGAGAGGGAAAGGAAGAGGAACGAACTGTATTCTATAGATCATATCAAGAAAACAAACAAATATATGAAAAAAGAGTGAATAGGCTGCGAGAAACGGGAAAGTTTTGGTTCAATGGACTCAATGAGATCCTCAGAAAGAGAGATGTGAGAAGTGGTGCTCAAACTAGATCAACTTAACATTCTTTTCCTTTTTATTTTTCCTCTTACCACCTACTTTAATTTCTTTTATTCAGTACTATTAACTCTTTTCTGTACTTTTCATAACATAGTCTACCCTGAAAGGCAATAGCATGATGTGTATGTATGAACGGATATATTTGCAGAAAAACTCATTCAGGCAAACTATACACCAAAGCCTTGGAAAACTCCTATAGATGGACTAGAATTCTCAGGTTCTTCTGAAAGGGACTCAAAGGTTGTCTGTTGTGGGAGCAGATGACAAATGATATTTGTTAAAATGACTTTGATAATTTGATCAAAAAGTATTCATAGATTTTTTCTTACCTATTTTGAAATTCCAGGCTTTCCCCATTTGTCAAACATAGTTTATTTGAAGGAACTGGAGAGCTTCCCCTGTTGACCATAACAAAGAGCATAAGGTGTTATTTAAAATTTAATTTAATTTAAATAGAATTCAAAAAGCAATTTTTTATTTAGTTTAACTCTACCTCAGGTTATTCACCCATCCAAACATATATAATTAGCCCAAAAGCAACTGTGAAAAATACATTGTATAACAGAAATAGGGTACGTTCAGCAACACCAATGAACTAAGAAAAAAGTAAGTTCTTACCTGATTTCCAGTATTTTTTGTGGTGCAGGAAGCAACACAGATGGGACCAATTCCCCTTGAGGTATCTATGTAAAAAGCATTTGAGTGTTGATTAACTTTCACAGAAAACAGGACACAGCCCAGATAAATGGAAGAAAGAATAAGCAAACCAACCTCTGGTTTATATTCTATCTGAGGTGCATGCATGAGGTTCCATTTTCTTAAGGTTGCTTCAAAATCATCTTCACTACTACCAGACAAAACTCTTTCTGAAGTTCCTTGAAGGTACAAAATTTAAAAACGTTGTCAGGTAAAAAAAAGAAAAAAGAAAAAAGCAATGTTACTATAAGCCTAAATATCAACTGCCTGAAATCAAACACGGAAAGAGTTCAGCAGGAAATGTTAATAAAATGAATTTATTTAATGAGCAATTCCTGATATATGTTGCTGATTGTTGCATAATCTGTTTAACAGCTATATAATTGTACATTTTCTAGGTAGGTAAAGACTATATGCTTTTCCAAACTTGATAGAAAGTTGAAATTTAAAATTGAGCATGGCTAAAGGATTTTAAGAGAGCGAGTTTAGTGTAGTGGTTAAGGCACCAGGTTAAAAACCAGGAGACCGTGAGTTCTAGTCCTGCCTTAGGCACAAAACCTAAGGTGACCTTGGGCCAGTCACTCCCTCTCAGCCCTAGGAAAAAGGCGGCAGTGGCAAACTACTTCTGAAAATGTTGCCAAGAAAACTTCAGAGACTAGTCCAGGCAGTCGCCAGGAGCCAACACTGACTCAAAGGCACATCCCACCTCACACCCACGGATTTTAAGACGACAAAATATAGAAAAAACCACCTTGATCCTAAACACATTTAGTTCCAATTAATTCAATGAGGCAGTTTCATGCATGACACCTTGTAGCACAACTAACTACAGATACAGTTCAATATGGTAAGGTTAATGGGAATTTCAGTCAGCCTTGGTATCACTGCCTTTCTTACAAGTTTTAAACATTTCAGCCACTGACCCAGTAGAATGTTGATTTACACAGTGTGGCACAGGATTTGCATGGCAAGATGCAATCAGCCATACAGAGAAGTATCTGCATTTGCAAATCAAATAGTCAGTTCCACTCCAATAAGCAAAATAGGACAAAAAGTTGAATTTAATTTCTTTGACTATCCAAATTTTCCTTAAGTTTATTTTATATTTAAGATTGTGCCTTCTTAAAATTTATTTAACTTTTTAGACAAAGTGTATAAAAATACAAATAGAAAACAAATAGAGAAAATAAAAGGATTTTAAAAAGGTCAAGGAAGTTATAGTTTTTCAGTATATCATTAGTAAATTATGAATGATTGAATATTTTGCTTTAGATAACAAAAATCACTATTATTTTAATAATTAATGTTAAGAACCATGGCCAACACAATATAAACCACCTAAACTACAGTTGACAGAGTCAAAACTGAGAATCTGTTCTGCTTTAAATGTCTCATGAAACTAAAATATGAACTCTGTACATAAAGGAACCCAAACTTTGGATGGGGAAGATTGTGGCTTTGAAGTAATTAAATCAGAACTAGTTATTGGCAGTGGTATAAATACAGCTCTAAGAGCTTTTGAACCGATCACCACCAAATTACTAGAGTTTTCCTTTTTAACCGTAAAACTAGTGAAAAACATCTAGATAATGTTAAATTCAGAGAGATTTGACAAAGTAGTTCATTAACATTGGTCCTTGTGAAAAACTATTACAAATACTAATTATTCAAGATATTTAATTGAGCTATCATTCATCTATTAAATTAAATAAATGTAGATCTTGCAGTATTGTAACACTGATGCATTTTGAGGATGCCTGAAAAGCATAATTACTCTTGATAAGTAGTTATCTAGTAACTACTCATTAGAAGGTAAGGTAATTTTTAATACTTTTTCAATGCTTGAGGAAACCAAATATAGATTATTCCATGGTATATCAACATGTAAGAGGCGCCTGGCTAAAAAAAGCCTCCCCCAAATCAAGTAAATTCAAGTATCTTTGTGGAAAATGTAGATCATTGCCTATGTTTTATTTCAGAAGGAAAATTTCAGAGTTTCATGCCAAATAACAGTATCTGCTAGATTTACCTAAGTAGAAGGAAGAGCTAATCAAATTATATTTAAGAAAATATTATAATTTTTACAGTAGTAAATCAAAGCTCTAATACAGAAATACCATATATGTAAAAATATAAAGTATTACATTATAAGAGGTTGGGTTGAATACTAGAACATGTGCATATGTGTATGAGTATGTGGAGAGAGAGAGAGAAGGATGGTAATCAGGTTATTTTTCATGTTGTTCCATAAATACAATTTTACCCATAGTAGCCAAATATACTTAATTATAGCAGATTGGATCACTGAACTGTTTTGCGGTAAATAAGCTCTTTTAAAGATATATTACATCCCTGGAAAATATAACCATGCACAATAAAATATTGCTTAATACTATTTATTTTACATATTATGCTTAGAGAAATGGAGGCAAAGCCACAAACAGAGAAGTTACTTCTTGTAGCTCTTCCTGTATCTTTTGCCTGCTCTGGGAAAAAAGCCAGCAATTTAACACAACCTTCTTGCTAGACCTATTATTTAAGAAAAATCAAAGGATTAGGCTGGGCACTAGCCTAATAATGACTAAATGATGGGAAATATGATGATTAAAGCAATTTCTGATGTCAACTTATGTACCATGTCAGCAAATATTAACATTATAGCTTTAGTCAAACTACAATACTATTATTATAGCTTCACTAAAATTATAATGTATTAGTTCTACATTATTATGGTTACAGAAATTTATTATTAAACTTACTATTATTTTATTTGGATATACAGCTTTTATTTAAAAGAAGGGTGTTCTATATATATGTTTCCCATTCTGCCTAGGCAGCCACATGAAATGTTATATAGTTCCTCTCCGGATTTAGAATAGCCCAGCCATGAAGATACAGTAAGTGAACACACAGAAAATAAATTAAGCATGAGAAAACATCAGTTTGGACAGTGGGAGCAGGAATCCTCTGAATACAATTTGCTGTCCCATCTAACAATCTTCTGAAGTTTAATGAGGATAGTTTGAAGAATGTAGATGTAGGGAAACCAAAAGTCAGCTAATATTCTTTCAACCTTGATTTTTTTCTCATTAGTTTTACATTGTATGGCAAAATAAGTTTATTATTAATTATTAATAATGCTCCCATTGTCAAAATTATCATCATCATAGTAACTATACAATCCTTTGAGCTCCCACATCTGGAGACTTTTGCATTCTGTACAGGTAAATTAAGCTTATCAGGATTCTAAACAACAGAGCTTGCTAAAAAGGATAAATGGAATATTTGTGAATTACAATGTTCTTTAAATTCCTACACGTGATAAGGATATGAGCACACAGAATACAGAATCCATTACACTTACACTACGCTCACCAACTTATCTTGCTGCCCTTCTTTTCCCTTTTAATGATAGGGTTTTAAAAATGTGTTCCAATTTAATCATAGTACAACTTTTACTGGCATGAATGTTTTACTGCTGTAGAGTGAGGATGTTATCACTTCTTCCTGACCTGGGAGTGATGGAAAGGCATTTGTAGGCAAAGATATGGTGACTGTTATCCATATCCACTCCTTGTATGAAAAGTGTGATTTGGTCAGAGTTATTCTTAGACTTTCAATCTGTATCTCGTTGTTCGGTTGCTTCTGATTTTTTGTGATTATCTAGATTGTCTGTCACTAACTGCTTTTTTGAGTTTTTGTTAAGCTCATGCTTGAGTCACCAGATAGTATATAGCCATGTTGTCTTCTGTCAGTCTATTTTTGATTGCCTTTGATTTTTCCAAGCATCAGGCCTTCTCTAATAGCTCTTGCCTTCACATTGCCTACAGCTTTACCATTAGTCTTTCCAACAAATACTCTGATTTTATTTCATCTAATACTGAAAAATTGGTTCTTGCAATCGAAATTGTTCTCAACAATTTTTTTCCAGCACCACAGTTTAAAGGTATCCATTGTTCTTTGTTCAGCCTTTCTGCATAGGCCTTAACTGCTGACTTAATATTAATATTTTAGGCAGAGAAGTTGAATAGTAACAGACTTCATCTTCCAAGGCTCAAAAATTCATAGAATGTTACTGAGGCCATGAAGCAAAGAGACATCTGCTGCTTGTGAGAAAAAGCATGACAGATCTAGACAAAATATTAAAGCACACAGACATCGCACTGATGACAAACATATATATTGTCAGAGCCATGATTTTCCCAGTTGTAATATATGACTGTGAAAGCTGGGCCATCGGAAAGGCTGAACAAAGAAAAATTGATGCTTTTGAATTGTGCTGGAGAAAATACCTTGGAGTGCAAAACAAAAACAAAAAATTCAATACCAGATGAAGAAAAACTAGATTGCTTGCTAGAAACACTAACAATGAAGCTAAATCTTAAATACTTTGGACACATCATACAAAGACAAGAGTCCCTGGAGAAAACCCTGATGCCTGAAAACTTGAAAGTTGAAAAAGAGGCTGACAGAAAACAAGGAGGGCTAATTTACTATTACTGACGACAAAACATGAGCTTATAAGAACACAAAGAAACAATTACTGAAATCTTGGGGAAATAATGTCCATTAGGTGACGACACATTAGTAGCAAATGAACACTGAGCAACAACATACAACCTTGGTATCGAAGCATTTAGTTGCTCCATTTTCTAGTATAACTGTTCCTTCCTGGTCGCCATACAAATGCATCAATAAGTAGATGAGGTAGACTGGTACACCAATGTTTTAAGGGCCACCACAATTTGTTGTGGTCTACACAGACAAAGTCTTTCTTTGTATAATTAATAAAGGAAAAACACATCTTTTTGGAACTCCCTTGCCTTCTCCATTATCCATTAGTTGCTACCAATGAGATCTCAGGCATCTGTTTCTTTTGAATGTTGCTTGCTTACCTTACAGCTCTTATTCCATGAACTATTGAAATCTGGATTGCAGAATCTTGAATATTAGCATATGAGATAAGTGCAGCTTACAAACAATTTAGTTGTTTGAAAAATTCTTAGGATTGCCCTATTTTGGTATTGGAATATAAATTGCACTTTTCCATTTCCTTGGCTGCTATGTTTTCCATACCTGCTTACAAACTGCAAATAGTATTTTAACTGCATCATCTTATGAGAACATAAACAGCTCTGCTGGTATTTCATCAGCTCCTGCAGCTTTATCTTCTAGGACCCATTTAACTTCACTTTCCAGACTGTCTGGCTCTCGTCCAGTGATCAAACCTTTCTATGCATCATCAGTTTTAGCATCTTTTTTGCACAGTTCCTCCAAATATTTACACCTTTTTTTCCTCTTTCTTCAGGAGATCTTTGCATCCTCATATTTGCATAAAAAGTTATCTCAATTTTTTAAAATAAATATCTCGTCCTTCCCATACAAGTGTCATCCTTGCTCTCTTTGCAGTGCTTGTTTAGATGTAATTCCTTGTCTCTTCTTATTTAACTCAGCTGGGCAAAATTTCCTGTCTCTGTTGTCTTTTAAATTCAGCCTTTCTTCAGCTATTTTCAACTTATCAGCAGCAAGCCATCTTGCTTTCTTTTACTTTTTATATTACACTTCAGTAAACAACTACATAACACTTTTATTTTAAAACTTTAACTCTGAAACAACTTCACAAACATTTATCAGACTATTCATTTTTAAAGGAACTGGAAAATTGGTTCTTTTTTCCACAACTGTAATTCTATATAGCTTGTGGATTGCAGCTCTACATCAATATTATGCTATGTGTTCCTGCTATAAACACAAATAATAGAGCAAAAAACCCTTTAACCTTCTCTTACTTCTCCCACATCGACACTGCAATCTACTGATGAATGGCATATGATTACATAATAAACACAAAGGTTATCACACTGCATTAACCCAAGATGACCATGGAGTTACAACTGCCCATGGAAAAAAAGAAAAGGTTCAGCAATGTGTTGGAACTCAAAAAGTCTTTTCTGCCTAACATTCCAGGCAGAAGACTCAAGTCCTGGTTGAAGTGCTTGAAGTAGAATGCTTGAAGTAGAATCTTCCAGATTGTACTAAAAGCTTTAGTGACTAACATTTTATATTCAAGAATTATATTGGCTGTATATTTACATAATATAAGGACACATCAAGTAACTTTGAGGAGCAAGCAGAAAAAGGATTGTTGGGGAAGAAGAGCTGGTAATGAAGACAGTGTGCAACTCAAGGGCATATTTTGAGTATTAGATAAATCTTAGCCATCAAATTAGATGAGACCATTCTGAGGACCTTCCAACCAACATATTAGTCACTAATTATACCTTGGACTGCTATCATTATCTCTTTCACCCTTCGGTACTGGCTTAGTAAAACGGTTAACTCTTCTATGCGGCGGTCCTATAAAGGAAAAGGCAACAACATTGAATTTATAAGAGTATCAAAATAATCAAATGCAGAAATTGGTACATGCTGAGTGAATGAGAGCTTTTCTAGTCCTCCAAATCCTGAAGCTGTTTCTGTGGGATGGCTTGTTGTCAAAAGATAAATCTATATATCTCTAGGTTGGGCTTTAGCAGATACAAAGGAAAGGCATTGTGTTCCTACTGCTGGCACTAGAATTCACTTCACTTTTGCTGTGACTGCCTTTCCTTCTCTTTTTTTGCATATCTAATAAAGTAAGAAAATCAAATTTACTCAATTGTTTTAACAAGATAAGATGCTACTGTCATTATCAGACTCTCATAACTATTTAAAAAGACTAAATTTGCTGATGGAAGAATCGTATTTTCTCCTTCAACATCTTTACTACAGTAACACCATCTTGATAGAAAACATTTTTAAGGCTGTGCAGCAAGCAGCTGTCAATGCGCTGTGTAAAAATAATCCAATTGAACAGTCCAAATAAGGGATTGAGAAGAGAGAAATAAGTAGAAATATAACCACTTGTAATTGTGCAATAGAAAGTTAGATCAAACAGAATTTTTAAAATTACACTAGAATAAGATTTTACTCTATTTCCTTTTCTTCTAAAAAGATAAACTTTTAATAGAGGTGGTCCTGGGTTAACATAACAGTCATTCAGTGACTGTTCAAACTTGCAACGGCACTAAATGAATGGTACTCATGATTATGACATCACAGTGTCCTGCAGTCACCATTTGCAACCTTCTTTGCCAGTTTCTGACAAGCAAAGTCAATGGGGAAGCTGGCAGGAGGTCACAAATGGCACATGTGATGTCCTCACTTAATGACCTGTGGTGATTCACTTAACAATGGCAACCAGGAGTGCCGGAATTGCCATCGCTAAGTGGCACGGTCACATGATGTCGTGCTTTATGACCGTGTCACTTAGCAACAGCAATTCCGGTCCCAAATGCTGTTGTTAATCAAGGACTACCTGTAATATGGCTGTGCAATGTTCTGGACTTGATTTGGAAGAATTGCTTTGGAATGCAAGAGTATTATTAAAGTAGCCCCATATGTTTCCAAGACTCTGTGGCAGGTGTGGAAGTATCCACGTAGCAGCTCTGCAATCTTGACAAAAGGCATGGTTGCTTCAAGAAGTAGCAGATGGGTGCTACATTTGTGCTCTTGTGCATTCTGCACATCCTCTTCTGAATCAAATCTGAAATACTGCACAACCCTATTCAATAATGCACATTTGCATCAGTGTGCCTCTGCCACTCCCTCTGCTGCAAATAACATCTTGGTAATGGGACAGCATGTGAAGCTTCTTGCAACATTCTCTACCTACAACTAGTAGGATTAAAATGATATACACGGTATTTGCTTTAAAAGTCATATAACTGTTGCATGAAGATGCATCAGCCTGTAAATTAATACAAAAATATCTATCATCCTTTTTATGCCCCACATTCCTCAAAGACATACCAGTCTAATTGGTTTATACAAACACACAGTACTTTTTCTCTCTATGCTAAAAAAATTATCTCTAGAATGACAGCCACTCTGTTAATGAAGGTAAGCCATTAGTCCTTCCCCCAGCCCAAGTATTCATGGGACATTATCTGTTTAATTTTATTTAAACAAAAAGTCGAGTGTGATTAAGGCTGTTGTATGGCAAGATTTCTCCAAGACAATGAAATAAGTGAGAGAATGAAAAATAAGTCATGGTAGGGCTTAGGATGTTGGGGACTGTAATCTAATTAGCTAGCTACTTTCAATACTGGATAACTACATTATGAGAAATACCGGCATACATTTTTGCTATTACTGTGCAAAGAACAGATATCTTTTACAAAGAACCAGTCCCCCTTTTTCCCCTAGCTAAGGTTTGAATATATTCTATATTCCACAAAATATGAAAAATAGAATAACTATAATAAGAGATTAAGACATTTTACCAGTGTGATAATCAAAAATAAAAAAAATTCTGGAAGGCTAGAGCCAGCATCAGGAAATAAAAGGAAGTAAAAAGCCAGTACCATTAAACAAAGCCAGAAACCATGATCTCAAGGTGAGTGCATCATGGATCCCTTCCAAGGAGGAACAGGGAGACAGAGCAGATACCTGAGGAATGAGGAAGCTGGCCAAAGAAATAAACCAATGGGCGTGAATTAATCAATTAGCATTGTGCATGGTGAGACTTTGCACAGCAGCAAAAATATAAAATCTTTAAAAAGAGAAAGTGTAAGCGCATGCTTTTTACCACATAAGAGCTTCCCTTCTGTTGGATTGGGCTTGGCCAGTTCTAGCAGTGAGAGAGCAAAAGAGATGAGGATGGGTGAGGGTGTATGCAAGGATGCTTAGCTGCAGCTGCTTGTGAGCTGTCGATTAAAGCAAGTGGGAGGACTTTGAGCATGTGCTCAAAGAGGAGTGAGAAAGGAAACTGTATATACATGGGACTCAAAAACATAAGGGCAGTTAGATTTAGGAAAAAAAATTGTAACACTAAATAGCAATTTTCATTGCTACATGATCACTCATTACATCTTGATTTAAACTTATGATACCCAGCATCTTTCAGTTCAAAAGGGGTGGAGAAACGCAGAGTGGAAATGGAAAGTATTCTTGAGTAGAAGGATCCTTTTTTCCTCTTAAAATCTCTCTCTTAAAGAGTTGGGCTTGTTCTTCAGACCAGATAGGAAAGCTGGAACAGGGCATTCTAGTTCAGCTCTGTAATTCAAAAGCACAAGGGCAGGTGGACCTGGAAGCTGAACAGATCATCTATTAACATTACCTTCCTACCTAAAAAAAAAAAAAAAAAAAAAGAAGCTCATAAATGCTTTCTCACCTTTTCCTGATTTGCAGCTAATAATGATTCCATTCCTATTTTCAAACGCTGGACCTCTTGATCTAAAAACAGAAACAATATTCATACAGTATGACCTACCAAAAAGTATACAAAATGATCGATTTAGTGAATCATGATAGCTAGAGCACCTTCATTGCCCCTCTTCCCAGGCAGATGGCAAATAATTCCTGTGTACTAGTTCCCAGGTTTTATCAGATGTACATGTCTCTTAGAAGGTTTCAATTTTTGTTTCTCTTTCACATCCTCCCAGCACAATTAGTGATGTTTTTTAAAAAAGAATGGCCTCCAGCTTTTTTTCCCCAATTCCACCCCATAGAAGCTTTCTTCCCTAGTCTCAGACTTTTAACGGAAGAGGGAAGTTTAGGCAGCTACACTAGGGAGGAGAATGTGGAAGAGTTTTCTGGTGTGGATTTCTATACAACGTACAAATTAATGAAAACACAACAGAAAATAAAAAGCATAACAGGAAAAATAATTAGCCTAGAATTTGTACAACTAGTAAAAGGCTCAAAGGTTTGGGTATCTTTAAATATATACATGTCTGTTTCTGTGTCTGTACACAAGCAAATTTCTATGGATTGCAGAAACTAGTTCCCTATTGAAAAGTAAACCTGCAACACAAAGTAGCAACATTTTAAGTACTGCTTATTAACAAGATGGACAGTTTCAAACTCAAAGTGATTTACCTGTTGAGAAAAAAAAAATCCATCTCCTTAAAACATCACTTGAAAAGACAAAGATTCATCATCAACCTCTGCCTCACTACCTATTTTCAGTCTGATGGACAAATATACCAACGAATCAGAAGCACACCCATGGGATCACCACTGTCAGGACTCATAGCAGAGATTGTATAGCCTAGAAGCTATAGCACTTCCACACATACAACCTAAAGTATGGATCCAGTATGTAGATGA